CCTTTGTACTCAGGAACCTCACTTCCCCCTCCCTCCGAACTGGAGCTGACCTCAGTATGAAGACAAAGGCTTATAATGCAATGTTTTTCAAATTGCAAGTTGTAGTCTTAGTAGGTCATCGTATCAGTTTCCTGAGGCTACTGTAACATTGCCACAAATGTGGTGGCTTAAAACAGCAGTGGTGTATTCCCTCACAGTTCCGAAGGCCCGCAGTCAAAAATCCAGTGTCAGCAGGGCTGCACTCCTTCCGAAGGCTCCAGAAGAGAATCCGGTTTTCACCTCTTCCAGTTCCTGGTGTAGGGGTTCCTTGGCTAGTGGTTGTGGCCACGTCACTCCAATCTCTGTCTCCATGGTCACATTGCTTCCCTCTCTTCTGGCTTCTGTCTGCCTCTAATAAGAGGCCATGTACGGTTATTCATTGGCCTCATTTCAATATCGTTGTGTCCCAGGGAATAGGGAGGCTCATGGAGAGGGAGAGCACTGGAATAGTGGGTCGATGGAGCAGTCAGAACACACAACATTTATCCATTAAGTTCGCCATCTTTATATGGATGTGGTTCATGGCGTCCCAGAACAATTACAATAATGACGTCAAAGATCACTGACCACAGATCACCTTAACAAATACAACAATAATTTTAAAAGTTTGAAATATTGTGAGAATTACCAAAATGAGACTGAGACACAAAGTGAGCAAATGCTGTTGGGAAAATGACGCCAATAGACTTGCTCGATGCAGCATTGCCACAAACCTTCAATTTATTAAAAAAAAAATGCAGTATCTGCAAAGTGCAGTAAAACGAGGTATGCCTGTATATTATTTGAAGACCAGAGCAAACGTCTTGTCTTATTCTTGTGTCTTTCCCAGCGTGTGTTCTTCCCAATCACATGCTCAATAAATTTTTGTCGAACGAATGCTAATAATAGTGTTTATTATGTGCTATTAGTAAGCATTTTTCATACATTATTTTATTCAGCTCTAAGATTCCAAGATTTAATGAGATAGCATGTGCATATTTTCTCATACTTCACATAATTCTCAATAAAAATAGTAATTCTTTTTCTGAATTTTAGGACACAGCTTTACACACCCTCTGTGAAATACTTCCTAACCCCTCCCCTGCTTTCATTGGTTGCCTTCCTTCTGTTCCCATAGCTGCTTATTCACCCTCAGGCATGCTGGATGTATATACACCCCTGTTATACTGCAGTTCGCTAACTTGCTGAGGTTAAGGTGATCTCGTTTCTGTATGCCTAGAGTCCAACACATGCTCTGGCTGGCACGGCAGAAGGGTTATATAATTATCGAAGGTGATGCTAATTTGCATTTTCTAAAGTGTCCAAATGCTGGAGATAGATAAATGAATATATATTGCGAGGACCTTCTAGATTTGTTGTTCCGTTTCATCTTTATTTTTCTTTCAGGATGCATATCATGTTCACAGCGAAGGTACTCCCTCCAGCCCATCCCAGAGAGGAAGATTCCAAACCGATACTTAGGCCAGCCCAGCCCTCTCACACACCCCCACCTCCTCAGACCAGGTAAGGCCATTTAGCTGTAACTGCCTCTCTCCTCAGGTCCTTTTACCTAGAGCTATGCTATGCAGGAGAATTTTTTGCACAGTGGAGGTGTTCTAGATCTGTGCTGTTCAATACAGTCGCTGCTAGCCACAAGTGGCTATCATATGCTTACTATGTTACTAGTGCAGCCGAGGGACTACATTTTTTTGTTTTATTTTAAAAAATTTAAATTTAAAATTAAATAGTTACATGTAGTAGTCTACAAACAGCACCTCTGGAGCCATGAATATGATAAGCCTTGTAGTTCAAAATTATCAGTGAAAAGTATGTGTTTAGGATGTTTTTAAAGAAAAGTTCAATGACTTTCTAAGACATAGTTTCTACAGTTGTGTTCTCACTATGAGTCCTAGTGAACCACTATGTTGTAACATTGTAGAAAACATGTTTTTCTTGAAAGAGTTAAATACTCATTTCAAAATTTTGTTTAACAAAACTATTTCTATATAAATTATGCAAGGTTTCGAGATCTGTTTGTCACAGCCTTTTTTTTTTTTCCTGAGAAAAAGTAAGATTTATTGAAAGTACGTTTTAGGACGAGACATGGCTAAGGAAGGCCGCAGCCCTGTGGAATTTGGGAGAAAAGGAGATAAGCTAGTCCACCCCAGAGGGAGGGGCGAGTTTCCAGCCAGGAGCACTGTAACTGTTTGTCACAGCTTTGAGAGGTGATAACAATGATAAAGGTGATGCAAAAAATTGGTAAATATTTACTAATTTTTGTAATCAATAGCGATTTACCTCACTAAGTTTTTTTTTCTGCTCTAAGATTCCAGTGTAGGTGCTAGAAGATGTGTCACTATCACTCAAATTCATGCCTAAAAGTCTTTGTTTTATTTATTTATTTTTTTAAAGCAGTTAAAGGATGAACCGTGGTGAATGAATATCATCCCAAAGAGGCAGGTAGAGTAAAACCAAATGCTTTGTAGAAAAAGCCATCAGGTTTTCAAGGGAAATTAATTGTTGCTTCTGCCATAAGTTAAATCAGTATTTTCTCTGTGAGCATATACGTTAATAATCTAAATTACCTTTAGAGATATGTTACTCTTTCACTGTCTCCTCTCAGTGAACAATACCAGTGTGTCTCTCAGTTAGGGCTTCCTTTTGCTGATTCTTCATAAAAGTGAAATTTTTTAAAGTCGGTCAAACCTCAGGAAATGCAGCTCACCACTGAAACACACAAGAAATCAGAGTTTTTCAAAGCTGTAAGGTAAGCTTAATAGCAGTCTAATTGGTATTAAATATTTCTCTACCCTATGAACCCACCTGTAGCTTCAATTTTTTTTAGAAAAATGTAGAATTGATGTTAATTTTTATCAGCTTTGAAAATTGTTGATTTCTTGTGGTGAAATCTTTTCACATGGTGAGCTGCATTTTCCAGGCCTTGATGATGTCCTCAGTATCTAGACCATTTGCTATGTATGTTATGTGCATGTTTACAATATAAGAAATGAATGTAAATATACGCACATGTATGTTCATACGTATGCATATGTTCATATCAGCTATGGGGGAAAAGGGATGCCTGTTTTTATTTTTGCTCTCCTGGACATAGGGTTTTGGGCATTGGGATAAATGAGAAGGAATAGAAGTAGATAAAATTTTAAAACAGAATTATAAGTGTTAAACTATCAGGCAAAACTTTATAAATATCCAAAGTATTAATCATTTGTCTTTCTCCCTGTAGAGATACAAAATGTATGAAAGTGTTAAAACGATTGTAGGCTGAAAGAAGAGTAAATTATTAAAAAAATTAAAAAGCATGTAATAATTTTTTTTGAAAAATCTTTTACAGAGCCAAAGTCAGTTTGTTAGTTTTGGGTATAAAATTATGTTGTCTATATTTGGTTTGCTCCAGAAGGTTTTGTGTTTGGCACAGCTCTTTTCCTAATACTTGCCAGTACTTAAAACTTTTGGAAAATATCTCAGTCCCTTTTCTAATTACGTGTTCCATATATATTATAGAAAAATTAGGGAACATAGATAAGCACATATTTTTTAACCTATTTCCCATTTGCCCCAAGAATATTCGCTGGCGGCGCTTCCAGGTAACTCACGGATTATAATCCTAACCTCACCCCCAAAGTTTGCCACGAAATATCTTGCTTTTATTATTATTTTCACATCGCTCTAGTATAGCAATAATTTTTAGAAACAAATGACATCATTCTATTTATAGCATTCTGTTTTTAGTGGTGGTAGTTCCATTTACAAAATATAGTAATTCTCAGTCACTGGAAATGTCAAATCCTAGAAAACATAGCATTCCTACGTGTGATGTTTAATTGATGCTGGTGACCGTCACCTTAGGACAAGCACATTCTCTGGGTCATTCCCGAGGCTTGCAAAAAAAAGAAAGAAAAAGAGAGAGAGGGAGGGGAGGGAGAGAGAGAGGGGAAGAGAGAGAGAGAGTAAGTAAGAGAGAGAGAAGAAACGAAGAAAGAAAGAATAAAATAAATTAACTCTGGCACTGAGCTGTACTTTATTTTTCTAACCCTGGAAAAAGGGTTAAAAATCACTCATAACTCCTATACTCAGAGAAAATTGCTATCGAGACTTTGGTGTATATATAGCTTTCTAGGCTTATTTTTCATATAAAAGGGGGGTGTGTGTGCGTGTGTGTGTACACCCTCTGTACTGAACAATTATTTCCTTAAAATTAATTTTTAGAAGTGAAATTGCTTTTTCTGAAATTTGGGAGCTGCTTCCCCTGGATTTCTCTTGGCCATACCTACCTAAGTTTGCTGAAACAACAGTAACTTGGAAAATATTCAGGAGAATAACATGGGAGATAGAGAAATTCTGTTCTGGCTATGTGACTACCGCTTTAGATAGAAATAAAGAGTCAGATCGACTCCCCCAGGTCCTCCTAGTGATTTTTAACTTATCATTTCCCTGCAGAAATCAGCCTTGTAGACCACTGCTTTTTATGACATTGCCCCCCCTGTGCTACGAGACACAAATATCATTTCATCCTTCTCAGTCACTAATATGCCCGCCACTTATCACCCAGGGGAAAAAAAGTGACTCCATGTAGGAAGGCAAGTGGCATTCTGAGCTATATACTATTATGAACTGTGAATCTTCTTTTTATAGTCTCTGTACAAGAAAGACACTTACGTAGTTCCCTGACTTTGCACCAGGAGTAATGCTCTCATTAGCAGAACAGCAAGGTGTCCAGCTCACGCAAACACTGAAACTTATCAGGGAATAGGAAGCATTAGTGCCTAATGAAGCATTAGTTCCAAAAACTTAGATTTCTAACATTTCACACTTTTAAGCAAAATTAATTTTAGAATGTGTGATATGGTTTGGAGTGCTTTAAGAAAGGGCCGCTCGGAGAGTCGGGCTTGTCAGAATGACTTGCCTGATACATCCAGAACTTCTTCTTGGCTTTCTTCCTACTGCAGCAGTGAACAGAGTCATTGGGAAGTAATCAGGGTACAGCTGTGGGGCCCACAATGCGAGGGAATGCCTTTACCATTTACCTTATAATGAATTATAATGGCTGAGGCTATACAGTGATTGTCAAGTATGATATTTAAAAATTGGTTCTAGAGTAGGTTATAGATAATAATTCCCAATTCTTCTTCCCTTGAAAGTATCCATCTTTCAGTGATAGTTTATTTGTAGTTCTGCCTTGAGCAGGGGTGTATTATTTTTTTTTTTTAAGTTTTGATAAACATGATTGACTTCAATAATATCTAAAAGATTGAGATTTATTTTGGTGGTGAGATTTTATACTTTTTAAAAGATTAAAATATATGTCCAAGAAATGACAAATTGAAAATCATTCGAATCTGCCTAGACCATTGGGCGAGCTTTTACTATACATACATGCCAGGATCCCGTAGACTTGCTGAATCAGAATCTCAAGGGAAAGGCTTAGGCCATGTGTTTTGAAGAGCTCCCTGGGTGCTTCCGATGCTCGCCACTGGCCTGGTGGGTACTCATTTCTCTGGGTGATTGGAATGCCTAGTAACACAGGAACAAACCAGATCTTTGGCCACAGGCCATGTTCTGAAACATAGTGTGCCTTCCCCGGGCCTCTTCGATGTCCTCATCCCGACACACTCAGTTTCTTCAGTCCATTCACATCTTTATCATCTCCACCATCAAATATTTACTAAATGATGATTTTACATTTATCTAGCTATTTCAAAACACTTTTTTTTTATAGATTACACTTGATAAGCAGAGTAGTAGTCTAAAAAAGTTTTGTATTCTAGAGTTTTTCAATTTAACTTCAAGGCCTACCTGTTTTTGTACAGTAATGTATCTTTTCTCATTCCCTATGTACCTATGGAATTTTAAAAATAACTATATATTCATGTTAATTATGCATTTTCCTCTTGTCTTCATCTTCTGATTAGGTTTTAATATAAAGATGAATCTTAATGTATATAAGTTTATAAGTGAATAAATCTATATGTTTAACCTATATGTGTGATATATATTGACTACTCATTTCAAGGTACCATTATACAGATACCTAGCTTATAGAAAATTCATAAACTATCATTTAGTGCAGAATTATAGAGTGTGTTTTTAATACTGGGAGGAAAAGAAAATTTTGAAATGTAATAACTTTCACGTGCTTTGAATACTGGTACATTATAAATAAGTGACTTGTCTATTTATCTCTTTAACCTCTGTGCATATTTCTCATTCATATCCAGAAATTCTCTGAGGTAAAGATTAGCAAGAATCAGCCCCAGACAAGAATCTTCTAAAGAATTGAATGATAAGAAGCTCCTGAATCACTTGAGACTCATTCTTGTTGAGCGCAGAAGCCAAAGACTTTCAGGGCTTCTACGTAAATAATTCCTCTCATAGGAACAGTGGTTGTCCAAGGCCCCACTTGGCTTTGGATTACCAGGATGGCAACCTCTTCAAGTGTAAATCTTTGTTGTAATAATTATGACTAATGTTTATATAGTGCTTACTCTTCTAAGTATTTTATTAACTTAATTTATCCTCCTGACAACTTTGTGAAATGGGGGCTGTTATTATCTCCACTTTACAGATGAGGAAACTGAGGCACAGAGCAGTGTAGTAGCTTCCCCCAAGTTACTCGGTAAGTTGCTATGCCAGGATTTCAGCTCACAAAAGTCTGACTCAGAGTCCACACTAAACAAGATAGTATATAACACTTGTGCCAAAGAATACTGTCTGGAATTTTTTTTAAGTTTCTTATTGTTATATTTTTGATAAGAAATTCAACTGAGAGAAGTCTTGGTGTAAAAGTTATTTCAAGTTTAGAGAGTGATATACCTTTTTTTAATGTAAAATTTGCATACAGTAAATTGTACAGATCTTCAATATGCAATTCAGTCAGTTTTGACAAAGGTTACACTGATAGAACCCACACCCCAGTCAAGATAGAGAACCTTTCCCTCACCCCAGAACATTCCCTCTTGCCCGCTCCAGTCAAACCCCCCCTCCTCCATCCTTAACTACTGCTCCGGTTTCTATCAACGTGGATTGTTTTATCTGTTCTTGAATTTCGTTTAAGTCGAATCATACAGTATGTACCCTTTCTGTCTGCCTTGTTTTGCTCAATGTATGCAAATAAAATTTATCTAGAGTATTTTTTTACTATTTGGCCATTTCATTTTTTTCAGAGATCTATATGTTTTATTTGATAAAGGAAACATTTATTAGCTTTTTCCTTACCCCCATTCCTCAACTACATAGTAGTAGATTGGTTCGTAAATTACTTCTTTATATACAATAAAAACTAATATTAAACAATTCTTTTCAAGAATTCTCCTTCAAAATCAGACCACGTCAAATTCCAATCTGGTTAGTTTCAGGAAATAATTAAAATACATACCGAGACTGTACCAAAGACCTGTATCTTTCCATCCATTTTCAGTCTTTATAAAACTTTCCTCTCAGCTGATAAAATGTGAAGAACCTTTTTCTTTTATGCTTCAGAGGCCCAGTCCTTAAAAGTTCTGGGAGAGCTTTTTCTTCTTGGCTGCAGGATCTCAGAATTGATTGTGAGACTTTGCCATTTGTACAGTACAGCTCGTGACATCTAAGCGTTCGATTGGTTAAATAAGCTCTAAATAAGCTCGTTAGACTAACCCCTCTATCCTTAATTGATTCCACTTGATAAAATGCTAACTTTGTTTCTTAGTACTTTATAACTTGACAAGGTTACCATTTTGTCTATTTAGATACAGTTTTATCAGAAGACATTTAGGCCAGATGGACTATAATGGTTAGTTCTATGATCAAAAGCCATAACTGCCAGGTTTACCTCTAGGGTTAAAGTTGATCACTTTATTGCCTTTTTTTTCCTTGGATAATTTTTCTGTTGTGACCAAGAGTTCTTTATCACTTAGGGATTTCAGAAGCTTGGAAACATTTAGTTAATGATCCCCTATAATGTTGATAATAGTAAGTTTGGGGAAATGTAGCCAATGTTTTAAATATTCTCATATAGTCAGTTGTATAAAATTGGATTCAGCAAAGAGGAATGCTTGGAAGGGTGTGAAAGATGGTTTTCCAGTCCTGCTTTGGTTTGATTTTGCAAAAAGATATTTATACCTTTTTTCAGAACATACTTTCTAACATGTAAATGTATACTTTGTTATTAATGAAAATGAGATAACAAACACATAGGTTAATTAAGGTCATTAAAATTATGAATTTTGTTACCTTCCAAAATTAAAAGAAAAATACAAAATAAATTGATTTTTTTATTTAGTTTTATTACATGGACTTTAGCTGTGAACTAACCAAAAGCAAAGCACAGGGAAAGGAGAAAGTCAAAAGACAAAAAGGAAGGGTTGGATAATCCACCGATTATAAGCAGTTTCAGCTTTTATAACAGTATTTACTGCTTAGGGAAATTGGTAAATTTCCATTGTTGGGTAACAGTGACAGACTTAACGTGAATCATTATTGGGCATAACTAGTTAAGCCGGTCCTCAACTCTGATCCAAAGTTCAGTATTCTGCTCAGGAGCCCCAGGGGACTCTTAGGCAGCTCAATCCCAAAAGGAAAATGCGATAAAAAAAAGAAATGTGATGTGAGCTCTTACAGACCCAACTCTAGTTTTTCCTGATTCCAACTGGCCTATAGGGTTGTCTCTTATTTATGTTGCTGTAATTTGGGGCTATGTAATAGGAGTATATTTATATTTATATTTATATTTATATTTATTTCTTACTAACTTCATCAATAAAAATGTAAATTTTTTCTATTGTAGATAAATAAAAAATTAAAATTTTATTAATGGAATGCAAACTACAGAATTTGCTTGAGAGGTAAACTATACATAGGTAAAACAAAAATAGATAGTTTCAGTCTTTAACAACTGAGTTACGTATACTAAATATGAGTACTAAGAAATTTCGAAGGTGATCGATCCAGCAATTTCTCTCCTAGAACTACCCCCCGGAAATAAAAGCACCAGTGTACAGAACATGAAAGTACCAGAACATAAGCACAGAGAGGTTTACTATAGCAGCGAAAAGCTGAAAACAGAATGAATGCCCACCAGTGTGGAGATGGTTCAGTAAGTTACGATGCATTGCCCCAAGAAATATTATGAAGACATCAAACAGAATGGATTGAAGCTATGCCAGATGACTTGGCGGGAGGGATTTTCATGAGGTATTGTGTTAGAAAAGCAAGATACAGTAAAGAGTGTATAGTATTGCATTTTTGTAAAACACAAGGGACCAAAAAAACCCTAAATGCAGGTATATGGTATGTGTGTGTTGATAAAAATAGGAAAGGATACATAATAAATCAAACATGGGAGTGGTGCTGATGGGGGTTAGAAGCAGAGAAGAGGAGTGAGAATCAAATAATGAAAGAAAAAGTGGGGGAAATGTTTACTACTGAAAGTTCAGTGCGATGCAATTGCATTTATATAGAGCTATAGGTGTGTATATATAAAGAAATAGTTAACTTTAAAAAAATTCAAAGGGACAAATCAACATGATTTAGGCTACTCAGAAAAGCCTTTTGAATGAGAAGAGTCTAAAAACTAACAAGTATTGAGCCTAAGATCTTGGAGGGGAATTGTTAT